CCCCCCCCCCTACCCCCTTCCCCCACAGTCCCACACCCCGCCTGTGTTTTAACGAGGACTTTTATCGATTTCTCTTATCGCTGACGTGTTTGACTTCTACCCCGGTTCTATATAACTGTACTGGCCCGATGAGAATTTATCGAAAGCTACGTATGCTCGCCATCTCGTCTTCTGTGTACTATATGTGTTGCAGCCCTCGACATCAGCGTTATGATGCCGGTAATCAGTCTAACCTCTCTAGAAAAGCATCCGAATCACATACGCTATCTGAATCGATTCTCAGAGAATTATCCGAGAAGCTTAATGTTCCTGACTATTCCGTCACTTTGGCTTTCGTCGATCAAATCCTCTTAGACTCGTAAGCTCAACCTACATGTGTGACACGTTTATAGTTTAATTTACAATATGTAGGGCCACAGAAAAATAAAATGATTCCTCATAGTTTTCACACGAAACGTTCTGTATCTTAATTTTGCAAAGTCGTTTGCAGTTTGGAAGAATCGGACGAAAGGTAACCTGAAGCGTGCATAATGCACACACTTTTCATAAAAAATTCTTACAGTATCCCACATCAAGTTGGGTCACGCCAACTCGAGTAAACCAGTATCACACAAGAATTATTGACATTGGCAATAGCATAAGCCACTGAAAAAAACTTATGCGTGCAGCGATAAAATTTACTCTGGTACTGCTTCATATCGTTCGCTTTGTCGTCATCAAACATGCATTAATGCATAATATTTTGAATATAAATTCCTACGATATTCACTATGTATCCCAGAACAGGGTAGATGCTAGGACGTAACATGTGCGCGCATTAGCTTAGAGTGATAAAAGATGGTAGAGGACACTCACCGATCGTTCTTACGGAACACACTCATTCCGTTGTGCCTTACGGGCTCTCTCTCTCTTGAGCCCAACCAGCAGCCGCACAGCGGCGCATGATATAAGCAGCATGTTATTACCGACAAAGACAAGGGAGACTGGAATGGCCATTTCTGGCTTATTAACCGTCTTCATCCAGTCATGTCCAACCCCGAAGTGTGGAACACCCGAGGCTCGAACTCGCGACCTGTTTGTTAGAAGTCCATGCCTCTAACCACTAAGCCACAAGCCCGTAGCCCTGTCGGTTTCGATCGGGAAAATACAATGGTAGGGGACGCTCACCAACCGTTCTTACGGAACTCACTCGTTCCGTTGTGCCTTACGGGTTCTCACTCGAGTCCAACTAGCAGCCGCACAGCGGTGCATGATATTGGTAGTATGTTATTGCCGACAAAGTGTGTTTCACAATTCGGGGTTGGGTATGACTGGCTGATGACGGCTAATAAGCCAGAAATGGCCATTCCAATCTCCCTTGTCTTTGTCGGTAATAACATAGTGGTAATAGAATTGCGCTGCACCTACAACACTCTCTTCTTCTGCCCATCTTCATCTGATTTCGTGATAAAATCAGGAAGACCGGATCGGGCCACGATGATGTTCATTGTGTACCCCATAGCATCTTGGGTGCAGTGATGGCTACTTGGCTCGAATCGGTTTATGGCGGTAGCGGACTTGCACAGCAGCTACAGCACTCTCCCCCCCTTTACTTACCTGAGTCCGGTCACGAGATAGAGTCAAGAAGACCAGAGACGGCATTAGGCGCAAGAGCTGAGAAAGCGGGTCAACCCGTCTGCGCTTACCATACACGACCTGACCTTCACGTGACACTATGTTTTCACAAAAAGTTGGCGGTCTAATCAGACCTCACGTGCGTGAGAGTGCCATAGAAGCCGCATTGAGGAGTCAGAAGGCATGTTCCCCACTTACTTGGGAGGTATCTATTTCTGCGATTAGAAAGGCGTTCGCTGCTGGCAATTAAGTACCATGACCAAGACCTTTATCTGCAACCGTCTCTGATGATGGGTTCGAGTGAGAATCCGAAACGTCTGACCAATAAAAGAAACCCTTGTTCCAATGATCGCTTCGTCTTCTGAACTGCTTTCTGGAACTCGCCTGTTCGTTTCTATCAGCAAATACCATTACGTTGCAGGTTAGCGCTTCTGTTCATTGCCCAAAGTTAGTATTATTTCAGCATGACTTGGCATAAAGATTTGTCTTCTAGACAGACGGACAATTCTTGCGTCCGCGGCATTGTATCAATTTTCGTTCTTGTGAATGGCCCACGCCTTAATCTCATCGAAACATTCTGCAACTGTTGAATGGAACCTTAAATGAACGCAAAACTGGATTGGACATTTAATAGTTACCCTGAACAAAGCACTATAAATAGCTTGACTATTTTGGTGTCGGACAGACAAAGGGCCGCCTACAGCTGTTCATTCCTCCGCCCAATGCCATAAATTCTCTTTCGACCACGTGATGGCTTTGGACCAATGGGATATCCAGATGTCACGCCAACTGCCGGAGACATATCATTTAACGGATGACTCAGCCGGAGGACGTACTGATCTGCGACGGACCCAAAAAGCGCGTCTGAATATTAGTTCTGTCGAAGGTGCCTCACTTTCACCTAAGCCGTACGTTTTTATTTACTCTTGACAATGGGTGTTAATGAAAGTAAAACGTCAGGAGAGCGTAATTTTGAATCCAGGGATCATATTGATGTCGCATATTTGTTACTATTCTAGGCTGGGTCAAGGGCTGAAAATGTCGAGATATGAATCGCCCACAATCGGTTTTCTACAAAGATACAACGCTGTTGACCGGAGCATTATGGAGACATTAATACTAAAGAGAAATGTAATAATAATAATAAAAGGGGAATAAAGAAATCTTAACTAACTGGTCAGAACGCAGTTCTATTATACGCCAATGCGGAATTCGAAATAGCACCGCGTTTAGAGAACTTCTGAAAAAATTCAGAACAAGTACTAGCAGAACATCCACCGCTGGATGTGTTAAAATCTAAATCATTTGATGTTTTTCATGGAAAACGCATTTTACAAAGATTTCTCTTAACAAAAGAACCAGTTGTACGAAGCTTAATATAGACAGACATCACGAGTGCAAATGGGCCGTCTCAATAGATTCCTTGAGATAACTGTTACTTATCTTATCCGCGCAAAGATGAGTTATTTCTTCCGACTGCCTCTGTCACATGAAAGACTGAGGACCATTTTTGTGTAAAAGACGTGTTATTTACTAATCATATTTAGGAAGATTATCTGACTTTGTAGTTCATGCCTCAAGGTTTACAAAATGACTATCCGGAGTTCACAGGTGCGTCCTATACAACGGTACTTTCATTGCACCTCTCTAATTGTCCTTTTTCTATGACAACCTTGTTAGATGGGTTGCCTTGAGTACGTTTTTGAGCGCGGTACGTAAACTAATCCCTTTGTGGAAACGTTGTCGATCGACAGCGTTTAATGCTGTGGAATTTGATGTGTCCGAAGGCACCCTTCTATGTATCTTAACACACACTTTTCTACAAATGTGGTTCTTTGTTGGAAGATATCGAAGGTAGCGACGCAATGCCTTCATGAATAGTGAACGCATTTACCTGGACACATACGCTAAGTCTTTCCGATATCGAACTGAACTTGGACAGTGAATTAGAGACATCGGGTATGCCGGCTACCAATCTAGTAGAAAACGATCGCTTATTAGTGGGCGTTATCATCGCAAATGATAATTGTATGCTAAGACATGACGACCGACTGACGACTGAACACAAATCAAAAAGATCCGGGTAGGATTGATTGATCTTCCATTTTATACCGGCTGACTTTTGGGCTCCTGTGGTGTACAGCATAGATAATTGATCGCTATGATTTCCATTTAAATAACTTTATTACGTGAATAAGCCAGTGGTAGGATCTAATTTACAATTGCAGTGCTTTCTGGGAGATGCTTACATGTATATTTCATTCGAATTAATTAGCAAATTATTGCTCTGTGCAGAGATCGTTTAGGTTCTTTTGGATCTCCTTTGCACTGAGCTTAAAAATCCCCTATTCCAGAACTTGAGGCATTACAGGGCAGTTTTATCCGTGCCCCTGTTTTGTGTTGGCTAATATAATGAGCGCTCAAGTGTGTATTATTATGAAATGACTATAAAATGTTCTATGCCTAAGTGACTATTAATACAGGCATTTATTAATGATCGATCATTTGGTTTGCTTCCTAAAAGACAATGCGGCACCAAGAAAGTCCTAAATTTGAATAAGTAAAACAAGTCTCGGCGAATGCCTACGAGGACAGATTTACGTCCTAGTTAACTGTCTTACTAACGCTATATGCGTACTCCTGACTTCAGACTGTAACAACAATTTGAGCCTGTTTGCGCTCTCAAACGAATAATTTCGTTTTACTTATTAGTGATGCTGCCTCCGTTCGTTCCAAGCCGACTTTCGTTACAAATTATTGCCGGCGCGTTCGCCGTTTAGGGCTAACGCACGGGGCGCCGAAGCAACCCACGTTGATTGTCGTCCAGGCTGATGAGAACGCCGTTTTCAGCAGATGACCAGGTTAGGCGAAGCCGATGACAGTGGTGGGAGAGAGATAGCTTGAGACTGGGTAAACGAACATATGCTCACTCACTTTATTGTCCCCCTCCCCTTCTCTTTCATCCCCCCCCTCCCAGTTTCAGGTTCAGGCATAGAGTTCCGCCATCCCCCTCCCTCTCTGCCGATAAGCTCCGAGACCTTGGTCGGACCGGGTGGGGGGGGGCGCAACCATCTGCGAAGTTATCGGGGACAATAACAATTCCGACAATGTCGGCAGTCGGCAGCGAGGGAGTTGTGCTCAGTCGTCGTCGCCGCCTGTTGAATGTTGCCTTCTAACTGACGCTCACAACCAACTTTTCTTATCCTGCGGCGGTCGCTGATGTTAGCACAGAGGTGACGCAACCTCTTTACATCTCCTTGCTTTGAATGACTCTCAGTCCTGGGATAAAAAACTGAAAATATTTTCTCGGCGTCAAGTCGATGGAAAACAAGATTATTGATTCGATCGGGAACTATCAATTTTGCAGCGGATTAAAGTACTCTGAGGAGCCCGTTGTAACACCCGGAATTCACAAGCCCACAGGGTACAAGGTAAGATTCTGGACTATCTCCTAATTTCAGTGTTCAAGCTGGCCCTCTACCTTTCATTATGCTTTTCAAATTTTGCGAAGCATGAAAAACTTATACTGTTATGCAAACCTCAATCCCGTCTTTTATTATTCTCGCAAATCGATCGCTATATTAAAGTAAATCAGTCAGCACGAGGCTTGATAATCTCAGCCCGGGAGTTGATGTGAAAATCTGAGCCTTAATCCGTCAGCTGAGATGAGATAACCAAGTAATATCCATAAACTGCCAACAAGCAACCAGTGCTATACTCGTGTTGCAAACTTTACCGCACCAACGGAACAGTTATCAGTTAAAAACCTGTGCTGGTCTTCGTTTTGACTGAATTGCTCAAACATTTTAATTATTGTTTAAGGTGACTAAAAGGTTATCATTGCAAAACCGAAATATCTACCAGAAAGCACATGGCGAATTCTGGGGGAACCACTTATATGCCGAACCCCACGCAGAATATCGGCGAAACACGTGTGGCTGGGCTTTTCGATAGTACCTGTGCTCTCAAGCACGCTCTATCGTTTAATCTATGTACAGTTAGTGACCTAACTCATGAAATGTGTCGAAATTTACGAATGATTGCCAATCACTTGCAAACCGACACCATTTCATGAGTCCAGCTTCCATGTTAATTAGGTACAAGTTTAAAAGAATTAAAAACATAAAAGAAATATTAAAAGCAGTGTTGCGTTGTTTAGAAATGAGAATTTTTTTATAAAAGCGCAATATCCCGAAAAAGTTAGAAATTGCTCTAATTTAGTTAACTTCGTTTTTAGATGTATAGAATGTGGTCTCATGAAAAAACGTAGTAAATATGAATGTAGACATTAAACAATGTTTAATAAAAGTGTTTTAGTGAAGTTAACATCTAAATATCGTTTCATAAGTAGTGTGATTTCATATATGACGGTTTGTCAACTGCCTACATTCCGAATGTAGATTGAAAAACAGCTTTCTAGTGTTTCGTTATTAATTTTATTTCTTTGATGTAAATGAGATAGGTTTCATCAAGACAAACTGGATTTTGCTTGATTTCACCGATGGGGATGTCGTAGGAACAAAAGTTTTCATAAGGTGACATGCCATGAGGTCAGTCAGTGCCCAATAAATTTAAATAGAACTGACAGGCGTGATCGTAAACGTACCATTTTGTGTTTATAGGGGAAACTTTTCTTTCGTTAAATTAATTTAAGCGTTTCGCTCGTTTTGGATTAAGTTGAGTTTCAGATGGATCTCGAAATTTTGCTGAAAACTTCATGATTTTCAATGTTTTCACCGGATCGTCCATAAAAACAGATTCTGAATCACCTGTCTGTTTAGAACTTTAAAATAAGATTATTCTTGAAGGCATTTACCGAATTAGTGAGTGTTCAGGCGCTCCCTCCCACGAAAATTGTCGTTTGGGTCACATGTGTAGACTCATTCAAACATCAAACTTCATTTTCGAGAAAAATGACTGTCCATAACGAGAGTCAGCAACAAATATGCCTTTAGTCAATAAGAAAACTGTCCTTAATTAGTTGCCTCTTTATGAAGTGCTTTATTACTGCACTAATTTGACGGATCTCTGTGTACTTTGCATTTTTGCACGGTGAGTTCAAGTGAAAATTTGACACTCTGGCCGTTTTTTTCTCACGTTCCTAAACAGTACTAATATTTTTCTACCAAGAACGTAAGAACACGTCTTTTTTAAAATATTGAGGCCATTTCCGCCGTTTTTGCTCGCTTGTAGACTCCGTTCTTCGATTATGAATGCACGGCAGAGTGCCCATATTAATACTGATATTTTGTGGAAACGATAAATGTTTTGCTCGTCCTATTTCAGAATAAGATATGCACAGAAACTAAACTACACGAAAAGTAGTGTTTCATATGTTTAAAGCTGGAAATGACCATTACGTGGTGTTCAACTATGTGACATCAGGTAGAATTTTCTAAACGGCCAAACAGTTTCAGCCCACTTAAACGAAGGAATCCCTATCTGCGTTATTGCTACACTTTTGAGCACCAAATTCCGCAGATCTCTTAATTTGACATTTAGAAATTGACAAAGCCTTTAGTTTTCTTAAAATGAACTTTGTCTTAGCAGACTGATCACCATGGTTAACATCGGACATAAAATAAATTTTCAAGTTCGGCTAAATCTGTTTATTACATCTCTCGCGGATAAGTTACTATGCTTTCAGGGAAAAAGTCGCTCAAATATGTAACCGGAGTCAAGGACATGTATTAGCATAGGAAATTCCCCGAAAATATATTTCAACGTCCATTTTCGCTAAATTCTACTGATATTTTACTTGATATTATTACGTAAACACAATTTCTGCACAAGAAAAGGACATTTTATTGAAGGAAGCGGATAAGCAAACAAAATGCTTAGCATTAAAGTCGTCCAGAAATTTTCTGATCAGTTTCCGTTATCACATTTCATGAGATAGGCCACGTATTGTATGTACTACTGGCTGCCTCCTGGTTGTTTATGAATATTATGCGGTTGCCACGTTGTATCTGCTAACTTCATTTCTCGCATTTGGACATGAGAATGTTCTGCTTTTAAGTTTAGCGAACTACTCTCATACATGGTAAGCTGTTTTAATCTCCAGTTTGTTACTTAGAAAAGAATTACAGTGCGTGACCGATCTCATGAAATGTTGGCCGAAATTATGAAATGTGTTTTCTACTAGGAAGGATTACTTCGATTAGATTGTTATATTAATTAGCATGCAGCATAATCCTATAGTATATCGAACTCAACAGGATGTCGACTTTTGGAAGCAATTCTTTTCGACATTCAGCAGAAACCGTGATCTGCAAATAATGATTACTTACTTAGCATATATTTTTCGTATTGATTTTCGATGGTCTTTCAAATTCAAATATATTATAAAAACCTGCATAGAACATGGCTTTTTTACTCGTTCGTATAAAATCACACCGTCTTCATAATTTGCACCCGAAGAAAGTGCCTATTTAGGTTTTAAAAAAGAGTCTTATTATGAGATCTTCAGTACCGTGCTATGTCCATATATACAACATCGTACATGTCCGTTTACCAAGACTTCTCATGAAATGTAGAACACAGTCCGGATCCACGGCAGAATTTTATGAACCACATATGGTATCTCCTTAAAGGAATTGAGCAATATATGATTTTTCTTATGCGGAAATCATGCGTCTTGTAGACTGCAATCGCTAAACGATAATGCAATAGCAGACCTGGCTGAAAATTATTCGTGAATTTGAAAACCTGTTTGAAACCTAAATCACTACGAAATTTTGAAAATCAATACGAAAAATGCATGCTACTTAAGTAGTCATTTTTTCAGATCACGGTTTCTGCAGAAGGTCAGAAAGGAGTGCATCCAAAAATCGACATCCTGCTGTGTCCGAAATGCTATAGGACTATGCTGCATGCTAATCAATATTACAATCCCACCTAACTTATTCTTCCCAATCGAAAACACATCTCAGAATTTCGGTCAACATTTCATGAGATTGGTTACGCACTGTATATGTAGAGCAGGCTTGCGTATCAGCAGACGTCAACTTCCTGGTGGGTAGTGATAGGCACATTTTTTGCAATTCAATAGAAAGCCAGCCTAAATTTATTTAATAGTGACTCCTGTTGCGTTTATTATACAATCAATTTGGCAGGTTTTAAAAACAGATTCGTCCGTTGTAAAACCGTGAGCCTTGCCCTATGTCTCCTTCTGAAGGTTCTTATTAAAACGGTCAGGGGCCAAAACATGCAAGGCCAGGAGATGCGCAAACTGTTGTCAATGGAAGCGACAATGTTGGCCCGCATCTCTCATCCAAATATCGTACAATTCTATCAATTGATCAAGGTAAGATTAGCGCTGATTAAGCCTTTTAGGGATTTTCTGCTGCTGCTCTCCCAAGATTTCTGCTTATAAAAAAAATTTTCCTGGGTATTATCCTAAAGCAAAGTCACATTCTTTGCTTTAATGAGTGCTACCTGATTAGGATACGTTTCCTTCGGAAAAATACTAAGTGCTACTACTTACTGGATTAGTATGAATTGGTTAAATGTACTTGTGAGAAAATTAGAAAATCACAATTCCATATCAAACGCTACTTGCGTAAAGTTTTATCTATATCTGAAGACGAGGTGTGGAATAAAAAAAATCAGAACGCGCTCGTCAGTAAGAATTGGAACGTCATAATTAACTCACCTGTTGGCATCAAATTACATTAAGTTCTGTTGATTGATTCAGTAATTCGAAACACAAAATAATACTTCAGCATTTGCCTATCATTCAAATTCTAAAAAAGAATATTTCAAGACCCACGATCGGACAACCACCTCTGGGTTGCCGGTCAACACCTGAGTTTAAAGTTCTGTGCAGTGTGTACTTCTTTTCGCGTTCAAAAAATGGTAAGTGGGCTAAATAGACGAAAACTTCTATTACTAGACCCTTCAGGCGCAGCGTTTGACATGAAAACTGGCTTTGCTTGCAAATGGTTTTAGGCCATGTTTTTCTATGAAACCTGCAGAATATGTACCGGAAGTCCTGACTCAAATTTTAAAGCTTTCCCATTATTATACCAAGAATCGACTTCCTATACATAACATTTTTCGAATTACGGCTGACCTCCGCCTGCACACGAATTCACTTGTTTGTGGACTGCATTTTTCCTAAATCAGTTTTCACCCTGGTAAAAGTAGCAATCGTAGGTGCATTCACAAGTAGCTGTAGGCCATATGTTTTAAAAATAGCGTTTTGTGACGAATTTTAAATAACATTTAAATCTTTTAAGATGATAGCTGAAGGCATATTTGGTGCCTAAACATTGAAAGGTCAGCTATATTTGTGCACTTCAGTTATTCGCGGGTAGCTGGGGTCCTCACCTCAACGAATACCGGGGGTTCAACTATATTAGAGTAAGGTGAATTAATTTTTTGACTTTATAGATGGGGTTAGTTCTTTGGGTACGTATTCAGTTTACAAGACTTGATCGTTGCAGCAAGAATTTCACTGGCCCGACGTTTCGAGTATCACTCGGATGCATCGTCAGAGGTGCATAAAGAGCGTATAATTTATGATACGCAGCTGTGATGCTGCTGCATACTTAATATAATTATTAACACCTCATTCATCGTAGAGGGTCGTGTTTAGATGCGAGGATTGTTTCGCAGTCTGCACTCGAGTCGGTAACCGCCAGGTAAATATTATCAATTTTTGATAGTAATTTTTATCCCGCATGTTGAATCGCATTAACCTAACCTATTAGTCATCCCCTCCTTCCGTGAATAATTAATTTGTCTGGGCAAAATCTCAGTAAAACCTATGCAGGCAAATGGTTGCTGCGCTTGTTAATCGACTGTGGTCCAGAAAATCATAGTTATATTCAAAAATAGACGCAAAGTTATACAAACAAGGAGCTTATAGTAAACAGAATACTGTCTTACTCGCCCGACTGAGTCTACGCTAGCCCTTGTACTGTTAATTTTTTACGACGATGCTGATGACGTAAAAGGAGCATCCAACATCAATTGAAAATCTCTACGTAAGCTAAATGACGATTATTCAATGGTCTGACGTCTACGAATGAGAGGAAACTTCTCTAGCAGAGCCTAAAACACCATCCTGTGCTAAGTGAGCCGTAGTTTTACTCTTATTTAATCAACACCATAAATGTATTATAACAATCTTGTTCGATCGCAAATTCGAACTAATACCGCACACTTAATAACATAGATCTGCGAGCAACGTTGCGATTACAGCGAAGCATACACCGGTTACTGATGAAACGTTTATTTGGGTCCACAAAACCTTTGCATTCTTATTAATTTTATTTGAGCTTTAAAAAGAATATAGTTTAGAACTTTTGGAAGACACTCCACATAACGCTACAATCGACATCTTGCACGCAGTTTGGTTTAGGTCTTTGCAAGCGTTGACCTTATAAAATGACGATTGATCTTTTCAGGAAAAGACCTTCAAGTGGTGGAAATTGCATGAGTAGAGTTGCAGAACTGATTTCAGTTGAACAGAAGTTGCAGAAATTTCAACATACTGACTTTTTTGAAAAATACGGCATTGACAGAGATCCCAGTGAGCGCGGTGAGAGTCTGCGCCTGGGCGCACCACAGTATCCAGTTTTGTCACATCTTATGAATACCCATTCCCAATAAAACATACTGGACCCCAATCCTGCCTCTGTGTTAGTTCAGCACATTTACCGCGTGGCTGAACAGTAAGAGACATGGACTAGAATATTTCTACCTCTGAGTTAACGGAGAACCCAGTAACTCTACCAATAACCACAGACGCAAAACAGATGATTCGCTGGCAAATGACAGAAAAAATGCCTGTATTTCCACGCTTCGAAGTCTTCGAACCTATCAGTCAACAAGCCACTGGTTGCAAGCATGTGAAGTCAGGCAGGCCAAATGTTTATAGGGCGTTCTTTGTCTACAGGTCTGACTGTGGACACGATGTCTGGAACTACTTCAGAGGGGACCGGACGCGACAGCACGAACACAAACTATCGACTAAATGTGCCAGTCTGAATTCCGGGCTCACACTCGGGGTCTGATTATTGGTTAAGAGATCCGACAGCAGGCGTAGTGATCTACACTCTAGGTAGTAAGTCTTTCTCCAGTCACTGAGCCAAGTTAGCAGGACAAGAGGGGATTAAAGCGCCTCAGCCATCAGAGTGACTGCTAACTTCCCTTACTAGTGAGGAAGGTCGGCAGGACCCGTTAAAGCTAACACAGCTGCTTCTAGTGCGCTCAGCCAGGATTACGTACTTCGTATGCATGCGTTTATAACACTGCGGCAAGTACCTTCGTTTCCATCTCTGCCAGTCAGTATCACAAAGAAAAAACCGGACATCAACGTCCAAGGCCAGCCGCATCTAACTTACAACAGCCGAGCGAGTTATATGTGTTTCACTCTTCACCAGTGAGCAAAAGGTCATACGGCCCAAACCGCCCGAGTGCAAACAAACTTGTCGCCGTAACGTCCTCCAACTGCTCCAGGGTTGGCAGAAGAACAGGCGCCCTACTCCTCTCCCCCCACCCTCCTCCATAATACGAGTGGCCATCTGTTATCTTTCGGGGAAAGACAAGTTAGGTTTTGAGCTAAATTTACGGATAGGGTTAGGCCGCCTGTGCCACTTGGTTGCCCATTATCATGTCTTACTCCCATCAGTCTCCGGGCTGAGTTTCTTTCATTCACTAATTCAAACTACATGCACATAGGCAAGCTTTGTGTACGTAATTTCCAAGATGAATTTATTTTATCGCCGCTGCGCTGATATCTCAACACAAGAATAGAGGAGTTGAAATGGGAGCTTTGGCCGAGGTTGCTTAATCCGGGAAGCAATTGTGCCAAAAGAAAATAACCAGAAATATTTATTTTTATGTGCCTGAGAAAAAAAAATGAAAAAAAGTCACGTTAGCTGTTGTGTGCGAGTGGTAAAGATGCTTTAAAATGACCATCAGGGTAAAAAAATAAGTCCACACCGTATCCTTTTGACAACGCCTTCAAAGCAGCATTGAATACATTTGCCGTTTTAATTAAATGCTTAAACTCATGTCGCTTTTTAATTTTATGACAATATAGACAATCAAAATTTGTGATACCACAAATTTCTTACATATTCAGCCCTTTGGATTAACCCAAATGCTTCCCAGAATGAGTAAACCTGGCCATAAACCATACCCCTGTCAAAATAGTTGCAAGTTTACGTCCTCCGTTTAGCAAAGAAATCCGTTTAAATAATTGCTCGAAGCTCTTCCAGATCTGCGCATGCAAATTCAACCAGTGGTGGCCGCCTATCTTCAGTTTTATTTAAATTCCCCCAAGGCGAAAACTGATGCGTTACTGCGCACTTTTAGCCTAATTAATAAACTCGAGCATAACTTTATCCAGCTGGCTTCTGTGCGTCCATGACGGCGCCAGTTTGATACTCATCAGACATAAATCATGTATTGTTCATTCCTGAATAATTAAAAACCCTATGTATCTGCATCTGCATAACCAGCAGTTAAAGAACTTGACGCGCTGTTATGCATCGAGACGTGGAACGACAACACATCTCAGTCGCAATTTGAACACAGGCGGAAATAGACGTAAACGGGTCTATTGGCTTCCCGAAGCAAGCAAGCTCCCTATGCGTGACAAAGGTCGCGAACTGACGACTAACCACCAGGCCGAAGTCGTTTAAGTTATAATAAAAGAGGGAGGGCGGCAAACAGAGAATGCAGGTAGTTTGATATAACACAGTTTTGGACTTGTTTTGCCGTTCAGTCAGCTAATCATCACTCTGACCACCAGCTGGGACTCGAAACGCAAACATACGCTTGCATCCAGCGCAGATGGTTTATTGAAGGGGTCTGGTAAATGTGTAATAAGCACTTCTACTATTCCTCGCCAGTTGTTAGGTGGATTGCTGCACTAAATATAAATGCATGGGGGCGCATTCTAATCATTTGTGCAATATCTAATCTAGTCGCCATGTCTTCCAGACAGCCCTCTGTCAGAATTTCCGACCTTCAATTACCTAAGGGGCTGTGCTGAGTAAGTCATTGCGCCTTCTCTCTTGTTGTACATGACAGTTCAACCGTCGTTGCCGACGATGTCCACCGTGGGTTCCACAACAAGGCGGAGCAAGGACGGTGCCTTACGCGTGAATTAGTTTACAGTGGTAATAGACTTGCACAGTATCTACCGCACCGTCTCATCTTCCCCACCTGGGCACGGCGTCAAGACGTAGTCAAGACGACTGGAGCCGAGGGGAGGGAGCAGGGGGATGACACGGTCGAGCCCGCACCTTGACGCTTCACTCCGCACCCCCTTGTCCAGACGGTAAATGACCAGGTTTTTGACCAACAACAACAATACGGGGCGACAGGGGTCCCAGTGTGTGCGACGTCTGCCGACAGCCCGATTCTGCTACCGCAGCCCGAAATGTCAGCATTAGTTATGTTGAGCAATCTGATAACTCCTGCCAGAATTCGATATGGCACCCGTGTTATTTCAGCGCCTCTAATACGTGGACCGTTTGAGGGACCCCTCCTTTTATACATTCACCTTAAAACTTAATGGCTCTTCTGGGCTCTCTTATTTTCGTTATTGCGCTTTTTCTAGTTGCTTTTTTGAAAGAAAGAGTTGTTAAGTCAACCATTTCGGCAACAGACGACGTGTTACTGAGCATAAAACAGAAAGTTCGATGGTCTCGAATGAACAGTTATACCACTGTCACACGTACGAACGGATGACTGGAGAGTTATAAGATTCTATAGACTGTGAAATGTCCATTCATAAAGCATCTTCCATGTACATTCACCAAAGCTGTTTATGAAATATATACCATTGTCTTCATTCATTACATAGCATAACAAGCCCTTCATAGCCCTTTCTTCCCGGCACATAAAAATTATCATTTTGGTTTACAGTTTGCAATTCAGAAATCCCGAATGCAAGTGTAACCACAGGTAGGGGTCTAAGTTACTCAGGGATTGAAAAGACTTAAAACCGAAATATGTCATTTATTCAAACCCGAAATTCGGAATGGAGGTAATCTACCACCAAAAAAGTACGAAAAAAGACAATTTTTCCTATGATTTTCATAAAATATTTTCAAATTTATAGGTGTATCAATGACCAATGGAAAAAATTCGTACTGTGCAAGTAGTCATTTTTATAAAGTGCAGTTCTGTGGATGGCTGGAAAGAAGTTCCTTTAAAAGAAGGCAGTCCACAGCATTTGGGATACCTTATGATTATGCTGAAGAACATTTAATGTTGAAAACTTACTTACGTAATCTTTACAAGTCAAACACACATTTCGGAATCCCGGGTAGCAGTTCTTGAGATAGCTCATTTATTGTACATCACTTGAAGTGTTTTGAAATAAGGTTATTTATAGCTGGTCTCGTCACATATGTTCCCTCGTCTGCTCCAAAAAATCTTCCAATTTTTTGCTTAGTTTTCGATGCTTTATCTCAGTGGACGTGACAGATTGCCAAAATGCATTCATTGGCATGGATTTGTCGAAGTCATTTAAAAAGCTCTCCGGTGGAAAAAGGAGTGTTTTGCCCTATTCGCTTTCACCGCGCTCCCCCATACTGATCCTCCTAGGACGTTGTTCAGCCTTAAATCTCAAACTGCGTCCATGTGAAATTCTCATGTTTAAAATTGTTGACTACGAAGGAAGGCCTATCTTCCGCGCTTTTTACTTATGGTTCCTCTTCCTCACAGCATATGGATATTCAGAGCCTCGTGACAGAGTACGTCGGTGGTTTTTCTGTGGAGCAAACGCTCAAGCTGTTTCCTCAAAAGC